CACTGGTAATAACTAAAGTAATAACTTATACTTTTGGAGAATTCAAAACTCTCCTTCCAGTTTTGCCCAAAGTAGGTCACTCTCTGACAAACAAAAGCCCAAGTGTTTACTCTGCAAGCAATCCAAAGTCCTATTCAATTACCCTTTAGAATTATCAACACTATAAACTGAGATCCACCACTCATCTGTCAGTTTGTTGTACTGTGGTGGCTTGTGGGCTGCTGTAAGGCTCAAGACTATGCCACTAGTATTTCAAATGCCAGCAGGGTCACACATGGTGGAGAGATTTCAGTAGAGCTTCCAAACAAGACAGACTCAGAAGGAAGGGGCCACCCAATTCTCAAAGAATTGGCCAGTGAAAACCTTATTAATAGCACTGAAACACTGTCTGATTTATTACTGGAAAACTTTATGAATAGCCCTGAAACATGGTCTGATATTGTGCCGGAAGATGAGCCCATCAGGTCAGAAGGTACTCAAAATACAACTGAGGAAGAGCTATATCCTAAGAGTAGAGCAGACCTTAATGATGTGGATGGAGTAAAGCTTGCAGGACCTCCATTTGTTGATGTGGCATGACTCAAAATGGAAAGAAACAGCTGTAAACATCCATTAATAATCAGAACATGGAATGTACAAAATATGAAGCTAGGAAAACTGGAGTTGTCAAAAATGAAGTGGAATGCATAAAGCTGAATATCTTAGGCATCAATTAGCTGAAATGGACTGATTTGGGCCATTTTGAATCAGACAATCATAGATCTACTATGTCAGGAATGACAAATTGAAGAATGATGTGGCATTCATTGTCACAAAGAATGTTTCATGCTCTATTCCGAAGTACAATAGTGTCAGTAATAGGATAATATCCATACACCTACAAGTAAGACCAGTTAATACTACTATTATTCAAATTTATGCACAAATCCCCAAAGTCAAAGATGAGAAAACTGAACATTTTTACCAACTTTTGCAGCCTGAGATTGACAAAACATGCAATCAAGATGTGTTGATTATCACTGGTGATTGGAAAACAAAAGTTAGAAACAAAGAAGAATCACTGGTAGCTGGAAAATATGGCCTTGGTGATATAAACGACACTGGAGATTGCATGATAGAATTTTGCAAGACCAACGACTTATTCATTGCAAAAACCTTTTTTCAATCACTCAAATGACAGCTATACATGGGGACTTCACAAGATGAAGTACAGAGGAAGCAGATTGACTACATCTGTGGAAAGAGGCAATGGAGAAGCTCAATATTTTCAGCCAAAATGAGTCCAGGAGCTGACATCAGTTGCTCATATACAAGATCAAGTTGAAGGGGAAAACAATTTAAAAAAATCCATGAGAGCCAAAATATGACTTTGGTTACATCCCTCCTGAATTTAGAGACCATCTAAAGAATAGATTTGATACATTGAACACCAATGACCGAAAACCAGAGGAATTGTGGGATGACATCAAGAACATCATCCGTGAAGAAAGCAAAAGGTCATTAAAAAGACAGGAAAGGAAGAAAAGACAAAAATGGATGTCAGAAGAAAAACTGAAACTTGCCCTTGAACAGAGAGTAGCTAAAGCATATGGAGCAAATGACAAAATAAAAGAGCTGAACAGAAGATTTAAAAGAGTAGCTTGAGAAGACAAAATCAATTATTGTAATGAAATGTGCAAAGACCTGGAGTTAGCAAACAAAAAGGGAAGAACATGGTCAGTACTTTTCAAGCTGAAAAAACTGAGGAAAAAATTTAAGCCTCCAGTTGCAATATTGAAGGATTCTATGGGCAACATGGTGAATGATGGAAGGAATACAGAGTCAAAAGAACATCAGAAGAAGATGGAAGGAATACACAGTCACTGTACCAAAAAGAATGGGTCAATGTTTATCCATTTCAGGAGGTGGCATATGATAAAGAGCCAATGATATTAAAGGAAGAAGTCAAAGCTGCACTGAAGGAATTGACAAAGAACAAGGCTCCAGGAATTGACGGAATACCCACTGAGAAGTTTCAACAAATGGATGCTACTCTGGAGACACTCACTTGTCTAAGCCAAGAAATTTGGAAGAAAGCTACCTGGCCAACTTACTGGAAGAGATCTAAATTTGTACCCATCCCAAAAAGAGGTGATCCCACAGAATGTGGAAGTTATAAACAATATCATTAATATCACAGGCAAGTAAAATCTTACTAAAGACAATTCAAAAATGGTGGCAGCAGTATATTGACACAAAATTTCCAGAAACACAAGTTGGATTCAGAAGAGGACGTGGAACAAGGGATATCCTAGCTGATATCAGATGGATCTTGGCTGAAAGCAAATACCAGAAAGATGTTTACTTATGTTTTATTGACATATGCAAAAGCCTTTGATTGTGTGGATCATAGCATATTATAGATAACATTGAGAAGAATGGGAATTCCAGAACACTTGATTGTGCTTATCAGGAACCTGTACATAGACCAGGAGGCTGGACAGAACAAGGGGATACTGCATGGTTTAAAATCAGAAAGGGAGTGCGTCAGGGTTGCATCCTTTCATCATACTTATTCAAAACCTATATGCTGAGCAAATAGTCAGAGAAGCTGGATTATATGAAGAAGAATGTGGCATCAGGAATAATCATTAACAGTGTGTAATATGTAGATGACACAACTTTGCTTGCTGAAAGTGAGGATACTTGAAGCACTTACTGATGAAGATTAAAGACTACAGTCTGCAGTATGAATTACTTCTCAACATGAAGAAAATGAAAAGCCTCACAGCTGGACCAATAAGCAGCATCACAATAAACAGAAAAAGGATTGAAGTTGTTAGAAATTTCGTATTACTTCTTTCCAAAATGAACACCAAAGGGAGCAGCAGTCAAGACATCAGATGGTGTACTGCCCTTGGCAGATCTGCTGCAAAAGACCTCTTTCAAGTGCTGAAGAGCAAAGATGCCTCAATGAAGACTAAGGTATGCCTAACGTAAGCCACGGTATTTTCAATCGCCTCATATGTGTGTGAGAGCTGGACAATGAACAAGGAAGACCAAAGAAGAGTTGATGCTTTTGAATTGTGGTGTTGGCAAAGAATATTGAAAGTACCATGGACTGCCAGAATAACTAACAAATATGTCCTGGAAGAAGTACAGCCAGCATGCTTCTTGGAAGTGAGAATGGTCAGACGTTGTCTCATCTACTTTGCTCATGTTGTCAGAAAGAACCATTCCTTGGAGAAAGATATCATGCTTGGTAAAGTGGAGGTCAGTGAAGAAGGAGAAGACCCTCAATGAGATGGATTGACACAGTGACTGCAATGATGGGCTCAGGTATAGCAAGGGCTGGGAAGCTGGCACAGGAACAGGCAGTGTTTCGTTCTGTTGTACAGAGGGTTGCTATGAGTCAGAGCCAACTGGACGGCACCTAGCAACAACAACATAAACTGAGATAGAGTGTCATTACAAACCACTTTTCTTCCTTTTAATTTAAAAGAACATCCACAAGATAGTGAACAAAATACTATCTTCAATTCCTTTAGTGCAAGCAAAGGTAAAAGTTGAAGGTTTGGTTTGGTTTTGATTTTATCAATACAACCAGACTTTATGAAAAGCCCCTTATTTCTAGAGTAAACTCTTAATTATTTAGTTTTCTAATGAATTACTCCAGCCCCCTGGTTTTCCTTCAGCTCCTTCTATGTTTAGTTCTTTTAACCTTTTTGTGTGTCTCAGTATGGAAGAAAAACTCAACATCCTTTAGAAAATTATACTTTTCTATTTTTGTATTTCAGGAGCTCTGGTAGCGTAGTGCCTAAGGCACTTGACGGCTAACCAGAAGGCTGGCAGTTCAAACCCACCAGTCACTCCTTGGAAGGAAGGTTGGGCAATCTACTTCTGTGGTGATACAGCCTCCGAAACCCAAGGAGGGGTCTCTATGAGTCGAGTCTGACTCGACGGCACATAACAACAACAGCAACAATGTTTTTGTATTCAACTTAAGTAATATTTTGCAAATTATCAGATTTCTGTAATTGTTAGTAAGCTTCAGTGCACTGAGCCAAGCTACCTGGTATTAGTTGTGGTAACCAATGGCAAGTTTGGCATTTGTGTTGCATAAGAGTTTTATTGCCCAATCCACAGCTATCTCCTATTACCTTGAATTTACAATACAATTTTATTAAATACTTCATACCTAACAACACTTCTTGAATTATTCTTGCAGAACCCAGTAACCACTGAATCCCAAGCACTACTTCCCTTTACAAAGCAGATGTCTGGCCCTCTGCAAAGCCCATGAAATGAACCTGTCACAGGCAGCTACAACCAGACAATTGCGGCCCACAAGTTTTCCCTGTACACTCCACCTGGAGCTTTGTGTAGGTGCTCTGATAACAGAGAAGGAAGGCTGCAATGAAAAGATACACTATTATCTCAGAGTCAAGTAACTTTTATCTTCCTTGTAAAAGTGTATTTACATATGCTTCTTCCCTTCCACTTAGTAGTACTGAACCCAGGTTTACCGGTTGTGTCACCCTAAGTTCTGGCAGGCAATAGTAGTATTTAATGACCAGGGAAGTGAGGAAGAGGGAAGCAATTATTATCTTCAAAACAATATTCAGTTCCAGCGGCAGCAGCAAGGTTAGAATGTTCCCAGGCACCATGGTAGACTTTGAAGTCACTCATCCTCAGCTGTGCTTCACAGCCAGAGGAAAACATTCTTCTACTCATGTTCTGTTGCCATTTTATTTCATAACAAATAATTGTGGAGAGAGTCTTCAGTTGTTATTTCCCATTATTAGTTCTCAGTTATTGAATGCTGAAAGCACATCTGGCACATTGACCACAGCAGCTATGTATACGTTGTCTCATATTAGCTTTATGACAAGGATGTGAGGTAGACATCACTCTCCACATTTTTCACATGAAGACACCAAGCCTCAGTACTTGAATTGAACTCAGGTTTGAAAAACTAGTGCTACCAAGTGGGCGCTTCACCACCACCACCACTACACAACCTCTTCATGCTGGTGACTTCATCATAGAGTGTCCACCACCGTCTTGTGTTTTTTCTAAAATCCAGTCCACATACTCAGCCACTTTGGTGTAGACACCTGGTTGTTCCCTGCGGGCACAGCCTTCACCCCAACTGGTGATGCCCACCAAATGCCACTTTCCTTCATGTTTACAGACTAAGGGACCACCTGAATCTCCCTGTATCACAGTGAGTGAAAAAATAAAATGATGAAAAGTTATGACAGATGTGATTCAAATGAATAGTTATTAAGTGATTGACTGTAAAAATCTGTTCACTCTCTCTCCCTCATGCACATCACTCATATTCACTCAATCACCGCTGTGGAGTCAGATCCAATTCATAGTGACCCCTCCTTGGGTTTCTGAGACAATATCTCTGTGGAAATAGATTGCCCAATCTTCCTTCCAAGGAGTGGCTGGTGGGTTTGAACTACCAGCCTTCTGGTTAGCAGTCAAATGCCTTAAGCCCTACACCACCAGAGCTCCTTCTCATACACATACATACATATAATTTCTTAAAATTCTACAGGTAACCTGAGCCTCAACTAGCTATTGGATGTGATGGAAACAATCTGATTCAGTGGTATAAATTTTCATTTTATGTTTACTCCCTCTTCTATTCTAAAGTAAATTCAATAAAGAAATTTTGACACCTTCATCCCAGTGTCAAGGAAATCTAATATTTTTATATTTTAGTACCATTACAGTGTGTACAATTGTCCCTCCTTACATGCAGCATGCCTTCACAGATATTATGGCATACATACATATTCCATTTGTTAAAGGTTATTTATGAAATTGTCCGATAATTTTGGCTCTGAATTACTTTACAACTATAATGAAACATATTATTAGAAAACTTATTTTGAGGTGACTATTCTAAAAAAACCTATTATGTGTATTTTTCATAATTGAATACATTACCTTACAAGCATCGGTTCCCCCTTCCTTATAGCCAGCACAGATCATTTGTTTGGTTATTTCATAATCTCTGTATCTTGTCTGGCATTCCTCATTTGTTACCAAAGGAATATTTGCCTTTTGCAGAGTACTTTGGATTTTACCTATGAAATGAAAATCATACAACTTCAAAGGAAGGAAATAACAGTAAATATGGAAATAAGAATCAAAATTTAAAGCAACAATGGCCTTTCCATTAAGGTCCTATCTTTGTATAAAAAGAAATAGTGAACACTGAGAGGGTAGACTTACACACACACACACACACACATACACACTCACCCACAAGAGAGAGAAAGCCATATATTGTCGTCTGTTGCACTATTAGGACTAGGCCAGCATCCCAGGATGATAAGATTTTTTCTTTGATATTCTCTTCTATCCTCTAGTCTCAATATAAGTCCCTCAGAAATTCCTTCTCATATTTATTACCTATAATTATAAAGGCTGGAGGTTTTCACCTTTTAGGGGGATTTCTGGTGGCATAGTGTCTAAGACATTTGACTGCTAACCAGGAGGCTGGAGATTCAAACTCACCATCCACTCTTCAGAAGGAAGGTTGAGCAATCTACTTCTGTAGTGATACTGCCTCAGAAACCCAAGGAGGGGTCACCATGAGTTGGAGCCAACTCGATGGCAGTGAGTTTAGTTTTTGAGATATTCAAAATAATAATTTAAAAATATATTACTTCTGAAAAGTCCTGAAACCTCTGTCAAAGAGGAGTGTTCTTCAAGGAATAAAAGTGAATGTTGTTCATGAAGAACTATTTATTGACAAATAATTTACTGATCACCAGTGTCCAGGTAGTCCTTGGTTTTATGTTGGGAGTTTACTCTGTTTTTTAAAATTACTTTTAATTTCTTCCTGTCTCAAAGCACTAGTCAAAAATTTGAAAAATCTGGAACTTCCTGTAAGATGGAGAAATAGACAGACAAGTGACACAGACCCTCTTCAACAAAGAAAAGAAAAACCAATAGACAGAGATACAGAAGATAATCCTGGAGCCCCAAGTTTTGAAAGGAAGTATACAGAAATGGATTAGGCACCAAGTAGTGGAAAAATCTGAACAAAAACAGGACCTAAGAATAAGTCAAAATGACCAAAACCAAAGACAATAAGACTAAGAACCTTGGCTCTGTTTGCCAAGGTTGTTAGGGACATATGAGAGGCTGACAACAGAAAAGGAGACAGGTGGTAAGTACATAAGTGCTGTCAACTAGTGAATAGAGGATCACAGCACAGTATCCTGCTTGCACAGATAACATACAAACAAAATAAAGAAAACAAAAATTGTGGGCAAGTCATTCCAGCATACAATCACCAATTAAATATAAACACAGAAACGTCACAATGCTTTGGAGACAACAGAACATCACAGTCCACACAAAGAAGCAAGATAAACTAGGAGAAACAAAGGACTGGGATGCAGACCCAAAACACATCCCTGAGGAAGATGCAGCATTGGAAATCTCTGATAAGAAATTCAAAATAATTACATTTAGGTATCTTCAACTAATTGAGAGACAGATCAAGGAAAACACAGATAAAATCCTAGAACAATTTCAAAAGACAATACAAGAACAAAACGACAAAATAAATGAAAAATTTGAAATGATACAAAATCTACACACAGAAATCAAGTAGATTAATACTAAATTTTCAGAAATAGATAAGACATTGAATGGGCAAAGGAACAGAATTGAATCAATGGAAGATAGAATTAGGGAGATTAAAGGCAAATACCTTAACACTTCTTTGAAAATGGATAAATCAGAAAAAATATTAAAACAAACTGAAGAAAGCGTAAGATTCATCAAAAGGAATACCTACATGTAATTGGAATTACAGAACAGGAAGACACAAGTAAAACCACAGAGAAATTTGTCAAAGATTTGTTGGAAGAGAATTTTCCTGGTATGATGAAAGATGAAAATATATCCATTCAGGAAATCCAACAAACCCCAAACAGGATAGACTCCAAAAGAAAATCACCCAGACATATCATCATCAAACTTATCAAAACCAAAGACAAAGAAAAAATCATGAGGGCAGCAGAGGAAAAATGAAAAGTTACCTACAAGGGGCAACCAAAAAGACTAAGCTCAGATTTCTCAAAAGAAACCATGCAGTCAAGAAGACAATTGGATGGGTATATATAAAACACTGACAGAGAAATATTTCCAACAAAGAATTATGTATCCAGCAAAATAGTCCCTCAAATACAATGGTGAAATTAGGACATTTCCAGAGAGACAGAAATTAAAGGAATTTGTTAAATTAAGGGAATTTGTTAAAACCCAAAATTTGTCCTTTGGACAGAGAAGCAACAACAACCAACAAAAACTGACCATTAACACACATGATCATATAATACACATGATCATATAACCCAGAAACCAAACCAGCTATGGAAGTATCCAAAGTGAATGAGCCTATGAGATTGTAAACAGGGAACCAGAGACATCGATTGACAAATGAGGACATCTACAAACCAAAAAGAGGGAATAAACTGTGTCATTACAGAACTTCTAGATGGTAAGGAAGTGAAGACAACTACAATATAGAACAGACTGTTCTAAACTTGGGAAGAAACCTATAAATCACAGGGTAACCTCAAAGAAAAATAATAAACTTTCACATCAAAAAAAAAAAAAAAAAAAGACCAGCATAAATATTCAGCAAGTACTAAAACAATGGCAATGAAGGAAGTGATAACACGATTCATAAACAAAATGAGCTCAGCATAGAAAACTTTATGGAACAAAGAAATTGACACCATGAAAAAGCATAAAACAAAAATGACAGCAACAAATTCATATTTGCTGATAATTACATATCTGTCTAGGGGCTTATCTCTAAGATTTATAGAAAACTTCAATGCCTCAAGACCAAGGGAATTAGCAATCCAATTGAAAAATGGGCAGAAGACATGAATAGAGACTTCACCAAGGAAGATATTCCGGTGGCCAGCTAATACATGAAGAGATGTTCATAACGTTGGCCATCAGAGAGATGTAAATCAAAACAACAATGAGATACTATCTCATCCCAGCACTGATGGCAAGGTTCAACAAGACAGAAGACAATAAATTGGCAGGGATGTGGAGAAGTTGGGACTCTCATACACTGCTGGTGGGACTGTGAAGTGATGCAACCACTGTGGAAAGTAATATGGTGATTCCTTAGAAAGCTGCAATTGGAGATACCATTTGACCCAGCAGTCCTGTTACTAAGTATTTATCCAAGAGAGGTGAGAGCCAGGATAGGAACAGATATATGCACACTCATGTTCATCACAACACTATTTACAATAGCAAAAAGATGGAAACAACCTACATGCCCTCAGCAGAAGAGTGGATGACCAAACTATGGTATATACACAAAATGGAATTCTATGCAGCCCTAAAGAATAATATAGAGTCTGCACCTGAATAATATGGATGAACTTGGAGGACATTACGCTGAGTGAAATAACTCAATCACAGAAGGATAAATATAGTATTAGTTTGTTGTTGTGGAGGGTCAAGGAAAGGTATGGAGGGAAACTTTCTTTGTTGGCTGCCAGGGGTAGGAGGGGAGGGAAAGCTGCAAAAAAAAAAAAAAAAAAAAAAAAAAATCATTGATCCATGTCATTTTAGTTTTGTGTATTTCACTGTACATAAATTATATTTCAATAAAATGCATTAAAAAATTGGAAAAATCTGAATTAGTTGGATAGGGACTCAACCAGGAAAAATGGAAAGAGCTTGGCAAGAAATCTACTTGTGTAAAGAATAATACAAATATTATTATCTATTGTGTCTATCAGGAATATAATTTTGGAAAGGAAAAATGGTCTGTTTCTTGAAAAGTTCAATGGTAATTGAAATATTCAAATATCTATTAGTAGGAGTCCTTAGCCTAGAGCTTATACAAAGAATTCACAAAGTCAATCAACCTAGATCTAAAGAAAAACACATCTTTATTTTCATCAATATGCACCTAAAGTCTAACACTTCCTTCAACTATGAAAGTAGGCAATAAACTACAGTAGTATTGTCAGTACCTATGACTTTGCCATTAATAGAGATCACAGATATTTTCATCTCATATTACAGTTGTGATATCATTTATACTCACCACCATTTCAAACTCAATGTAGTTATTAGAATACCTGTTAGAATTTGCTTTTTAATATACTAATAAAGAAGCACATATACTACAATATCATATATTTTAAGTATTTTTATAACTGCATTCTATTTAACGGATTTTCTTTATAATTCTATTTATTATATGTGTTTAAAATAATTATGTGAGAAGTGGTTCATAACTTTCATTAGATTGCCAAAAGGTGTATAAAGATTAGGAATTAGTCATTAAGGAAGACAATGTACCTGCCTATACTCCTGGTTATTAATATCAAATGAGAACAATACTATTGCAAGATGGAAACACCACCAATATTGTGAACATAATTAGCTTGAGTGCACTATATAGGCCCTATATGGACCCAGTTCTTATGTGAATCAAAGTAAATGAATTAAGATACTTAAAAGATTACCTTATACATTTTTCCAGATCCAGGAAAAAATATATCTTCTCAAGCATCACTCAATAAATATTTGGAAATGTATATATTGCAAGATCAAGAATTTGGATACAATTTTAAACAAAGGCTGATTAAAATGATGCTGTCCATGTATTTAGCATGTAAGACCTGCTTTAGGACCAACATTTAAAAATGCCAAACAGGAAAAAAATTGCTAATCAAGAATTATATATCCAACAAAACTGTCCCTCAAATTCGATGATGAAATTAGGACCTTTGTGAACAAACAGAAATTAAGGGAATTTGTGAAAAATAGACCAACTGTACAAGAAATGCTAACGGGAATCCTTCCAAGAGAAAACCAACTATGGAAGAAAGCAACCTAAGATTAAGATGTGAAAACACCACCCAGAAACTAACCTAGGAAAAGAATTCTCAAATCTAAAATAAGCTTACAAAATGGAGGGTAGAGACACAGAGGAGTAAATCTGTAACTTATTTCAACTATAAAACAAAAAGAGAGAATAAGTGGTATAATTTTAAAGTTCTTTATAGAGAAGTCAGGATGATGTCAATATTTAACAGAATGTTCTAAACTTAGGGAGATAAGAATTTGTTTATAACAATAATGAATAAAAGGGAAAGAAAACTTGACAGCAAAATGAATGCAGCACAGAAAAAAATATCTGGAACAAAGAAACCATCAGCACCACCACAAAAAACACAAAAGAATGACAGCAGTAAATTCATATCTATCATTAATTACACTAGATGAGAATGGATTAAATTCACCAGTCAAGGGAAAGGGAGTAGCAAATTGGATAAGAAACCAAGACCCATCAATAGGCTGCCTACAAGAGACTCACCTTATACACAAAGAAAATATAAATTAAAAATCAAGGGATGGAAAAAGCATGTCAAACTAATGGTAACCAAAAAGAGCAAGAGGGGCAATATTAATTTCTGATAAAATAGATTTCAAGGCAAAATTCAGCATATGGGACAACAAAAGGCATTACATATATGATGTTAAAAGGATCAACAGAGCAAGAGGACATAACACAAATATCTCTGCACCTAATGAAAAACCTCCAAAATACATAAAGGAAACATTAACTGCATTGAAAGGAGAAATAGACAATACTACAGTAGTAAGAGGAGACTTTAACACATCACTTTTGATGAAGGACAGAACAACTAAAAAAAAGACACAGATCTCAACAACACCATCAACCAACTTGACCACATAGACATATACAGAAATATAAACAAAAAACATAGTACATATTCCTTTCCAGTGTACATAGATCATTCTGCAGAATAGACCATATATTAGGCCCCAAATCAAGCCTCAACAAATTTAAAAATACAAAATTTTACAAAGCATCTTGTCAGTTCAAATTACTACAAAATTAGAAATCAACAATAGGAAGATCAGGAGGAAAATTTCAAATACATTAAAAACTAAATAACACACTGCTCAAAAACCATTAGTTAACAGAAGAAATAAAGTGTAAAATAAAAAAATTTCTAGAAACAAATGAGAATGAAAACACAAAATACCAAAAGCTTAGGGATATAGTGAAAGTAGTACTAAGAGGTCAATTTATAGCAATTGATGCACACACCAAAGAAGAAGAAAGAACAAAAATCAACACCTTAATCCAACAACTCCAAAAATTAGAAAAAGGGCAACAAAAGAATCCTCCAGTCTCCAGAAGAAAGGAAATAGGAAAGAATAGAGCAGAAATAAACAAAACAGAAACATAATAGAAAAAATCAACAACACTAGAAACTGGTTCTTCAAGAAGATTAACAAAATCTACAAACCACTAGCAAATTTAAGGAAAAGAAAGAGAAGATGAAAATAACTTGAATAATAAATGAAATGGGTAACATCACAACAAAACCAACTGAAATTTTAAAAAAATGTTAATAACAGAATACGATGAAAAAATCTACTCCAACAAATTCAGAAACCTAGAAGAAATGGATTAATTTCTAGAAACACAAGACCTACCTAAATTATCAGAGACTAAGGTAGACAATTTGAACAGACCCAAAACAAAAGAAGAAACTGAGGAAGTCATAAACTCCCACTCCACCCTTCACACATACAAAATCCCATCCCAGATGGCTTCAGTGAAGAATTCCATCAAAGGTTCTGAAAAGAGGTGACACTCACCCTACCTACTCAAGCTGTTCCAGAACATAGGAATGGATGGCATACTCCCTGAGAATATATACAACACAAGCATAACCAATTCAACAAACTAGAGAACCAAAAAAAAAAAAAAAAAAACTCACTCCTCACTGCCATTGAGTCAGATCCAACTCATAGTGACCACTCCTTGGGTTTCTTGAAGCAGTATCACTATGGAAGTAGATTGCCCAATCTTCCTTCTGAGGAGTGGCTGGTGCAGCCAGAATGCTCCTTGGAAGCAAGAATGGCCAGACTTCATCTCACCTACTTTGGTCATGTTGTAAGAAGTAATTATTCCCTGGAGAAGGAGACCATGCTTGGTAAGGTGGAGGGTAGACGAAGGAGGAGAAGACCCTCAACAAAATGGATTAACACAGTGGGTACAACAACAGGATCAAATATAGCAAAGATAGTGGCCCTGGCATGGGGCTGGGCAGTGTTTCATTCTGCTGTGTATAGGGTCACTATGCATTAGAGATGACTCGATGGCACTTAACAACAACAACAACACTGCCATTGAGTTGATTCTGACTCATAGCACCCCGTTTGGGTTTCTGAGGAGGTAAATCTTTATGGAAGTAGATTGCTCAGTCTTCCTTCCATGAAATGGCTAGTTGCTGTGAACTACCAACCTTCTGGTTAGCAGTCAAATGCCTTACGCACTACGCCACCAGAGCTCCTTCACCATTTACAATAGCTACCAAAAAGATAAAATACTTCAGCATAAATCTTACCAGGGACACAAAAGACCTATACAAAGAAAACCACAGATCACTACTACAAGAAACTAAAAGACGTAATAAATGGAAGAACATACCATGCTCATGGATAGGAATATTGAACATTGTGAAAATATTAATACTACCCAAAGCAATCTATACATTCAGTACAATCTTGATCCAAATTCCATCAACATTATTTAAGAACATGGAAAAACCAATCACTAATTTCATATGAAGAGAAAAGTGCTCTCAGACAAGAAAGCAATACTGAAGAAGAAGAACTATGTAAGAGGTCTCATGTTCCCCAATCTCAAAACCTACTATATCTCAACAGTAATGAAAACAGCCTATTATTAGTATAGTGGCAGACACATAGACCAGTAGAATTGAACTGAAAGCCCAGAAATAAATTCATCTACTTATGGACAGCTGATCTTTGACAAAGAGGCAAAATCCATTAAAGGGCACAAGATAGTATCTTTAACAAATGTTGTTGGTGAAACTGTATATCCTTTTGAAGGAAAATGAAGCAAGATCTATACCTCACACCATACACAAAAACTAACTATAAATGGACCAAAGACTTAAATGTAAAAAAATGAAAAACAGTATGGCAATTCCTTAAAAAATCCAGCAGTTATCCATTCCACCATCAATGGGCACTTAGGTTGTTTCCATTTCTTTGCCATTCTGAATAGTGCTGCAAAGAACATGGGAGAGCATGTATCTATTCATGTCCTGGCTCTCACTTATTTCGGATGAGATGAGAAGAACTAGATGGCGCCTGGCTACCAATGCCAAGCACTCGGAAAGAGATCAAAATCGGAGATCTTATATAGAGTGGGAAAAAAGTGTGGAACAAAACTAAAAATCATAAAATAAAATACCAGGTTTACTAGTCTGAAAGAGATTATGGTCCTGAGTCATACTTCAGGCCTGGAATTAAACTCACTCCCAGGGGCTTAACTCTCAGACAAACAATAGACAGTCCTATGAGATAAACACCTACACCTGGGAACTGCACTCCTTAGAAAAAAAAATCAACCATCAGAGATCAGAAAGGCAGCATTTCACAGGGAGAAAGGTAGGAAGACAGGAATATATAGGGAAGTAGGACCCAGGGAAAGGGTAATCACAGGGAGAAAATGGGAGGTAAGATGTTAGTTACACTGAGGGGTATGTAACCAGTGTCACAAAACAAAATGTGTATGAACTGTTGAATGTAAAATGAATCTGCTTTGTAAATCACAACAAAAAGTTAAAAAAAGAAAGCAAATGCCAGACCTTTTTCCTTAGTGAAGCCCCAACCAGTGATCCAACAGTTTGTATAAACTATATTTGTATCATCTTCAAAAGGCAGGCATATTGGATTTTGGAATTCTGAAAGGCAATTTTAATTAGAGTTTAATTAGCTAAATTGTGGGTATTGGTTTAAAAATACATTATTTCCTCACCCCAGATTTTTCTTCTGGTACTACCAAGAATAATCCTCTCCTCCTCAACTTTTAAGGTCAATGATTCACGATTTGTGACCAACAGAGCTCAATTGCACTTGACATTTTGGGCTTAATTTTTTCTGAGTTAAATAAAAATCCCAGAACCCAAATTTATTGCAAAAATCATTGCCACATTATTGTTTCTTGACTCTTATTCAGGATATGATATTCTTAATAATAACAGCAATCTATACTCCTGTAGGCACTATATTAAGTGCTTTATTTTGTTAACTGACTAAGCCATTATAACAAAACGATGGAGTAATTATCATCACCATATTACAGATGAGGAAATTATAGTTGCAAAGAGCAGAAGTAACTTGCCAGGGTTACATAATAATTAATGGACACAAGGCAGATTCACTTTCTGTGGAGCTGTGTGCTTCTCTAATCGTGATGCTATTGTATTCCCAGAGATTTTTTCTGCACCAGTCTCTTGGCTACTTTACCTTCCTCTTTATCTAATGTTCTTAAGCCCAAAGCAGTGGCGATTCTGCTGATCTTGTCCAAGAAAGTCCAGTGCTTCCCAGATGGCAAATGTTTCCTGCGCCTATTATTTTAGCAATGTATATATAGAGAGTTGTATTCCTATCTGAAGGAACTAGAGAAAATTTCCTACTCCTTAAATAGAAGGACTATTGTGTCAAGTCACAGGCTCGTAACTTCCCTGCTAACCTTCACCCATCTCACAGCATTGCCAATCTGAAAATAAAGATAAACTCTGCAGATTTTCCACTGTCTTTCAAATTGATGTGCAAAATTAAACCAGTACATTTCAGCTATAAATATTCTACATACCAGTATAATTCAAAGGCGACTCAAGTTTTACTAAGGCAATATCATTACCACCTTCTGAGATTTTATATTGTTGATGAATAATGATCTCTTTTACTTGTGAGAAAGGTGTTTCTTTTGTTATTTCTGATAGATTTAAAATGCCACTATAAATGCGCCAAACATCCGAGAAAGGAAGCCTAAGAGGGAAAAATGAATAGTTATTTGAAACCAGAAAGATTGATCTTTGATGTTCTCTTTTCCCTTCACTCTCTCTTTCAAAGAAGAACTAGGAAGGAAATGGCACATATGATATATTTTTCCTACACAATTTCTTCTCCTGACAATGTGTCATGTGACCACCAGCAGCAGTATTGACTCTCCGAAGATTTGGTTTAAAATACTGAAAATATACATTTATGTAATTCTTTCATATTTACTGCAAAGAAACACTCAAAATGGTTCTCAATCCATTCTGAGAGAAATTGTGGTTTGTTATGATTTGTCTAGCTGTTTATCATGGCAATATCATGCTCAGCTCAAGTTAGGGAGTCTTCAGCATTGCTTAAAATTCGTCCATCTACATTTGGAAAAGTATAGGAATTTAACTTTTCAAAATATGAATGTATACAAAGCAAATCCAAAGGTATGATCCAAAGTAATGTCTATTTTGTGTAAAGATCTTGCAATTTTTATTATCATTAAACAAGTAATGTAAGGCATGCTTGCACAGAACTCTAGAGGAACTAATTATGTGGAAAGTGGTTGCCTTTCAATAAGAGCACAGATGTATATGATCACATCTAAAGTCACAACACTCTGAAACTTTAAGGATGAAAAGTTTTGGTCCCAAATTAGGGTACATCTATGAAAAAAGAGCTACTATTTCTCATCTCAGGCAAGGCCTTTTATTCCTTTATTTAATCACTATCCCTTTAGCACTGCTGTCTTCAGGATCCATCTGTTCTGTAGCAACTGTGAAGGAGACTTTTCTGTCCAACTTTGCCATTGCTATGTTATATTTTGGTGGTATCATACAAAATCCTGGATAGTACAAACATTTAAGATCTCATCTACTAACTGAGAAGTTGGTGGTTCAAATCCAACCAGAGTTATCTTGGAGGAAAAACTTGATGTACTTCTGAAAATGCAGCCATTGAAGACCCTAAGAACATAGTTCTACTCAGACACACATGGGGTAGCCATGGATCAGAGGCTACACGGTAGCAATGGAATTGGTATTCTAAATCCTGGTATGTAACAAGGCTGGGTCCTGCCCTTTTAGGGCAGAGGAAAGAGTGAATTTTGCTCAAATAAAAATACTTTTTTTTTTTTCTATTTGTGCTTCTTTGTTTTTAAGAGAAATTAAGTGTCTTACTTTGAGGCTACTAGTATAGTTCTTCATATACTTTTTAAATTATTATTTCTAATTGTATGTAGTAATAATAATAACAAAACCAAAACCCACTGCCATCAAATTGGTTATGATTCATAGCTATCTCAATAGAGATTCCAAGGCTGTCAATCTTTATAGAAGCAGACTGCCTCATCTTTCTCCCATGGTGCAGCTGATGGGTTCAAACTGCCAAACTTTTTGTTAGCAGCCCAATGCCTTAACCATAGCTCCACCAAATCTTATATTTTTTTAGTAATATTTAAGCATTTTAAGTATGTCATTTAATCTTCCAACAACCTTGTGAATTAGGTACTGTTACTGTTCATAGTTTACATAAAAGAAAATTAGGTCAAGAGAAATTTTAGGAATTGCCCAAAGTCATACCTCTAGTAAGTGACAGAGCTGTGACTCAAGCCCCATTTTGTCTAACTACAAAGACTAAGTGTTTTAAAACTTTAAAACCAGGCCATATGTACTGTTTTGAAATATATATATACAGAAATATTATATAATATTTTATATATTGAAAGATAAAGACTAATAATGAGATGATAAGTATCTCATTTCATTTTATTATTGTTGTTATTAATATTTCATAGTACATTTGTGAATCATAGACTAGAAAGTAAAATTTCTATGGTTCTGAAAAACAACTCTTTCATGTCTTTAGGGAATACATTTGGGTAGTGGTGGTAGAGTGGGCATCAGTTAAGGCATTTTTGAGTTATTCTTTAAAGCAGGAGTAATATCTAGCAAAGATCCAGTCCTGTGCACAAGCCATAGTCTGTTCTGATGGATCAGCTTGATCAGTGCTTAGGCCATAAATACACTGAATACCATCCCTGCTTTAAAATACTTCTTACTAAAAAAGAATAACTCTCTATTAATAAGTGCACATGATGATCAAGAAATTGATTATAGACACTTCAAATAAAAAGGCAAGAGAGAAGACTCTGGATAGGACTCATCCAAAACTTACCCATCAAAGCAATGGGCAGCAGTTAAGACCCACTGGTGTCCAATGATTGACCCTCCACATTGGTGACTCCGACCCGGCAGTGTCACCTGCAGGCTGACCTGCCAAGGCCACTCTCCCAAAGACGAGTTGGTTCCTCCTGCAATGCGTGTTTTTGATTTTGCTGTACATACTAAAAAGAGAATGTTGGAGCTAATGGTTAGAATTAGAAGTGGATCAGACTCCTCGTTTATCAAGGAAAGCAAGATATAGAATTCCATAATATAAAACTAAGCAAGCTGCAAAAATAAAACACAGAAAACACACTACAGTTCAATGAAAAAGTGAGGTTTACTCACCAGAGCTGTCCTCCGTTTTACACAGTCTCAAAGAATAACCTGAGCTCCCTTGTGTCCCATATGTAATCATGGTTGGGGAACCATCCAAAGACAATTTTAAAGAACACTTACACCTAGATAAAATAACCAGTATAAAGATGAAACCTTTAAAGAGACAAAAAATACATGAAACTGTCCCGATGATTGTCCTTAAAAATAATTTTTCACTTACTTCTCTCCCTGACAGTCTTCTGGGAGCAAAGAATAAGTGAAAAACTGACAGCGCATCGTCTTTGTACAAGTCTCTTGGCAACCACTCTCTCCTTTAACAAAGGTCACATTCAACTCTTCCCCTCCAAAATCAACTCCAGAGTAAATTTTGTAATGACAGGGTTCTGGGTCAATTATAAATATAGAAAGGTATGCAATGAGGAAAGTAATAAACTGCATTTACACAAATCTCTGATATGAGAATTCTTTCATAACCATTACTTGATAGATCATAAAATTTACCACATTTTACAAGATAAAATTATAGAATCACATTACCAGGCAAACTTGTTTTGCAGGTTAAAAGGCTATATCCAGATTTGGCATTTTTCTGTGGAGTAGAGGAACTTGGTGTTCCACTTTTAGAAGTCTTAAGGAAACAAACATTTCTATTGAAATAGGAGAGAGAGAAAGAAAACTGCATTAAAAGCATTAGCCAAACACCAAAGCACCTAATCATAAAGACACCTCTGCAAATTTTATTCTTCTGAAAAACTCTCTTCAAAGTAACTCAGACGACCGTACACTAATAAATTATAGAGATTAAATGTAGATCAAACCACAATCTCCCTCTGAAGAAAATGATAGGCACAGATAGCCTGAGGAGAATGGTAAAGTTCTACCTTCTAATTGAAAAAAATAAAATAAAAGAGAGAAAGCCAAATTAAATTCTGGGGATTTATGCCACTGAGGCTACTATTTATGCTACTAATTTATGCCACTATTTATGCTACTATTTATGCCACTGAGGCTACTCCCATGCTGTGTGTAAATAAAAGAACTGTGTACTCTAAGAGTAGGGAGGTCTGATCCCTACACTGATCAGGATAAATAGAGCTCTAGTTTCTGAATCAGAGAGGGGGTGGAGCCAACAAGCTTCACCGATCTGCTGCCAATAAGAGGTTTTCACTTCAAGCTAATACAACACATTATAATGAGTAATGATTGTTCTTTTGTTAATCCAGTGGAATGTTTGTTTCGAATAACAGAAGTCTGCTCTTCTCTTAAATAATCTCCAGCTAGTAGAAAATTACCTACCTGACCTGCAGATTCAAGCATTCAGAAGAAAATGGACAAGGTTTTGAAACTCAAAGTATAAAATTACAGTGATGAAATAACAGCAGCAAATGGCACACATTCATACTCACCTTTGTGACTGTATATTCCATGTATTTGTATAGAATGTAAAGAAGAGGCAGTTGGGATGATAGGTGCAAATGGTTCGACATACAAAAGCATCTGGAGTGACAACTCTGCCAACATCTGTATCTGAAAATGCACGGTGTTGGAAAATGTCCATGTGGCAACCTGTGAACTCACAGAGAGAAGACATTGCTCAGTAAATGATATAATATATATTTAGTTTATACTTTGTTATCATAACTAAGGAAACTAGTATTGCTTGTTATTCATAACAGTAAACGCTCTAAATGAAAAATGTCTGCTAAAATATCCTCAAATTGGCTAATACCAGTATATCCACAATACTGCATTAACACCAAACACCAGGCTACAGATAAACACATAAGCATCTGAGATCAGATGGGGGTCATTAAAGAGGATTATACTCTAGACCAGGGATAGATTCAGCTGAGGCTAATGTTGCACAGATACAGTGATACAAAATACCTGTAATCCTTACAAAAACAACAGAAGACAGACATAGAGTAATCCCTCACAGACACCCGGACACTGTGGGAGAGATATCCAATGGATCTACTGACTCAGGACCATAGTACTGGGGGACGCCAGACTCAGTTGGCACAACAAAGTAAGTAAAAATCTTGTTCTTCAACCTACATTAGTCAGTAGCAACTTGGGTCTTAAAAGCTTTCAAGTGGCCATCTAAGATGCAGCTAATCGTCTCCTATCATTGCAAGCAAAGAAAAGTGCAAAAAACCAAGGGCATTTGGAAGCAATCAAGCCCTAGAGCATGATGGACCTCAAGACCAGAGGAAATAGATGGTGCCCAGCTACCAATGCCAACCACTCAGGAAAAGATCAAAACTGGAGATCCTTGATAGGGTGGGAGGAAAAACATGGAACAAAATCCAAAAATACAATAATGACCAGTGAGACCCCAAATACTATGGCCCTGGGATACATTTTGGGCCTGGAATAAAACACTCCCAGGGGCCAGCTCTCAGCCCAATAGTAAACAAATTGTACAATCAGACCACTCAACCCAGTGTGAAGCACACACATACTCTATAGAAATGTATCCCTTGGAGCAATCAACCACAGGGCACCAGAAGGGCAACATTCACATAGAGGAAATGCAGGACAAACAGGAGTGTATAACTATGAGGGGCATGGGGGGAGGGTTGCTGGGTAGGGAGGGGAGGAGACTGGGTTAGGGTTGGGCATGGTAAATGTGGAGTGAAACTAAATGTACACGTAATGTTGAATATATATATATATATATATATATATATATATATATCACCTTAAAATAAATTTTTTTTTTTTAAAAAAAGGTGATCCAATAGTATGTGGAAATTATCTAACAATATCATTGATATCACATGTAAGTAAAATTTTACTTAATCTATATGCTGAACATATAATCTGAGAAGCTGGATTATATGAAGAACACGGCATCAGGGTTAGAGGAAGACATATTAACAATGTGAGACATGCAGATGACACAACCTTGCTTGCTGAAAGTGAAGAAGACTTGGAGCTCTTAATGAAGATCAAAGACTACAGTCTTCAGTATGGATTATATCTCAGCATAAAGAAAACAAAAATCCTCACAACTGGGCCAATAAGCAACATCACAATAAACAAAGAAACGATTGAAATTGTCAGGGATTTCATTTTACTTGGATATACAATCAACACCCATGGAAACAGCAGTGAAGAAATCAGACATTGTATTGCACTGGGCAAATCTGCTGCAAAAGACCTCTTTAAAGTGTCAAGGAACAAAGATGTCACTTTGAAGACTAAGGTGTGCTTAACTGAAGCCATGGTATTTTCAATCTCTTCATATGCACTTGAAAGCCAGAAAATGAATAAGGAAGACAGAAGAAGAGTTGACACCTTTGAATTATGGTGTTGGTGAAGAATATTGAATATGCCAATCCCATTTTGGACGTCTGACATTTAGAAATGTGTGGTAATTTCTAAATGTTACAGCAATAAGAAATTACTGCTGGAAAGGAAATGATAAGTCTTTTCCTTCGTGATGTCCATATCTAGAAATACATGTTTACTGTAGGGAATCAATGAAACCCTGTCATTTCAGACATAAGGACCTTTGGTGGCACAGTGGATGAGGCAATTGGCTGCTAACTAGAAGGTTGGCAGTTCAAATTCACCAGTCACTCTTGGGAGGAAGATGAGGCAATCTACTCCCATAAAGATTTACGGCCTTGGAAATCCTATGGTGGTTGCTATGAGTTGGAATTGACTTGATGGAAGTGGGTGTGGTTTGGTTTTATTTGAGACATATAGGTGATGGTATTTGAATTATCCAGAACATTGCCATGACATTTCATTTTATGTAGTATATTAAGGTTTAATGTCAAAATGTTATTGGAAACAAAGACATTTCTTTGTAGGAGAGCCTACTCTGTGCCAAGTCTTGTATTGGTTTTTGGGCTAGTGCCATTCTATGGAAGATTGGAAATTGGCAATATGTCTTGTTTCTTATTTGTCCCTTCCTTCAGTACATCCCTTCCATATAGTGTTGTTGTTAGGTGCCATCGAGTTGGCTCTGACTCATAGCAACCTTATGGACAACAGAACAAAACACTGTCTGGTCTTGCACCATCCTCACAATCCTTGTTATGCTTGAGCCCATCGTTGCAGCCACTGTGTCAATCGATCTCATTGAGGGTCTTCCCCTTTATTGCTGACCCTCTACTTTACCAAGCATGATATCCTTCTTCAGGGACAGACAAGATAATAGAAGTAGGTGACATGAAGTCTAGCCATTCTCTCTTCCAAGGAGCATTCCAGCTACAGTTCTTTCAAGACAGATTTGTTCATTCTTCTGGTGTCCATGGTATTTTCAGTATTCTTCTACAACATGATAATTCAAAGGCATCAACTCTTCTTCCATCTTCCTTATTCATTTTCCAGCTTCAAAAGTCCAAAATGGGATTGAACTTGATTTTAGGTGAAATCAAGGTGTCAGTGAGGCTCTCTTCCTTCTGGAGTCTCTAAGGGAGACTTTTTCTCTGTCTTTTCCAACTTCTAGATGCCACCTGCATTCCTTGGCTTTTGCCACTTATTCCATCTTCAAAACAAGTAGTGGAACATGTTCATTTCTCTCTGGAACAGTTAACATTATGCCACCTTCTTTATTTTATGAGGACTCTGAGCACATTGAGCACACCCAGATAAACCAAGATTATTCCCCCTTTGGAAATGTGTAACTTGCAAAAATCCTTTTCTTATGCAATACATCCACTGGGTCTGGGGAATTAGATCATAGACATCTTTGGGAGGTGGAAGAGGGGGGTAGAGCGAAGGGGGGTAGTGGGACGGGAAGTTTGTGTAGGGACCTTTATTCTGCCTGCTAAATCATAAAGTAAAATAGTAGCCTTGCAATTACCTATTTCTGAGAGTGCACAGGGCTTCAGCGAGAATCCAGATATCACGTTATCCAGCATCTTTATACTGGTAGGTGTTCCTCTTGAGCTGCTTTTTAATAAGCAGTTGTTCCTGAATGTAAAGAAAAGGGGTTACTTTGCTTCCTACACTTCAAAGTGTGTGCTGCAGTACAGTTATTTAGCACTGAAATTATGAATGAGCAGTGGAAAATGAAGTCAGTAATTAACAATTATGCTGATAATCAGTGAGCAAGGGATTTCATTATTAAGCAAATGGGCAACCTTCTCCTCTGCAGAGGAAAAATTAGAGTGGGAATGGTAGCATTATTCTATAACACAAAAATGATAACCCATAGCCCCTAATTTTCACAAGCATAGCTTGTCTGTGGACAATAAATAAAACACTCTTTTCAGGAAAAATGGCATCAAAACTGAGTAAGTAAGTAAGGAGAGTGGTTAGGTCTGAAATCCTTGTTTGGTTCTCAATTTTAAAAAAAAGTTATAAAGAATACAATTAATTCTAAAAGCACCACCAGAAAGAAGCAATACTGAATTTTACTCACCGAAACTCTGTTCTGTGAAATGTTTGTGTGGCATATGTGAAAAAATGGCAGTGAATGTTGTTAGTACAGCTTTTTTGGCATTCTTCAACACTTCTAACTTTAGATACATTAAAATTGACTCCTTTCATATCAATTCCTTTATAAATGCCTCGATGGCAAGCTGCATGAATAAAACACAGAGGGCCAGTTTAGGTAGGTTCTCTTTTACAGGCAGTTCATCAGCTATTTACCAATTTGGAAAGCATCATTCTAAAAGATATTCTATTTTTGGCAACTTTCCCATCATTTCTCTAAGTCTTTAGAAGCTCTAAAATGTTTACTACTTCCCTAAATTATTAAACTCTGCTTGAAATAAACATATTTCAACCTTCTCACACACACATACAGCCACCCCATAGAGCACTATCATGGACCTGTTTTACTGAATGAAGGAATTTCCTTCTTTGTCTTTATTTTTCAAAGTTTTCAACTACTTCTGTCTGATTCCAGAATTGCTCTGGTAAAAGCCCTGTCACTGACATCCAGGATGTGTGCAATCACTGTCATAAAATGGGGAGCACTCTTGTCTATGGATGATGAAGACAATTCTAGTCCTGCTTTAAAATTTTGTTAAATCCTAGTCAAGCACTCTTCTTATTGAAATTTATCTCATATGCAAAAGAATGTATATAATCCTGTAACATACAGCAAACCAAATGAGTGAATTAGACATTTTTATATTTGATTTAAGACTCAAATGTGTTAGACTCTTGGTTACGCAAACCAGTTAAATGGTACAAACTATAATCTGTTCTAAGAGATAGGGCTGAAGAAGGTATAAAGCTAAATCTTAAATCCTTAAATTGAGAAAGACAGAAAAAACTGAAAGGAAAACAATATATTGAGGAGGACGGGGGTTGGGTTATTTACAGTGGCTCATGTACCTAGAAATTTGCAGATTATAGAAATGAAATACTTCTCCAATTTTACTGTTCATGGGAAAGGTTAAGACTTGGCATGGATATTTACAAATTTTATATATGGATGGCTGAAAACTATAAACCCTCCTCTAACTGTTTTTAAGTAAAATTAGCCCTGAGTTTAGAGTCTTTATATACCTAGAAACAAATTTTCACTTTAATTCATTTGGGAAAAATTAAGAAAGAACATTACAATCAAGTTCTGTGAGTAAGCCTCAGATTAAAATACATTATTGACTCAGGTATATTGAGAAAGACACACTTTCCTTTTTTTCTTCAAATTGTTTATAAAATGTTATAAAACAAAATAATTTAAAATAATATTCTGTTAAATAATTTACATGTAACTGTATTACATAAATGTGCTTTTGGAAGATGGGAAATGTATTCCATTCCTAGTAAACTGCACTTACTACAGTGGTTAAGTCAGAATCCTAAGTTTATAAGTAATGATTTTTCACTAGTGTGTATAGTAACTGGTTACTATACACATTAACAAAGTATGTAAGTAGATTGGAGGAAGTAGTGTACAGTTAGTGGAGGGGGAAAGGGTGACTGAAATTTAAATAACACAATTAAATTATAAATTACAAATAATTACCACAAAATTAACTGTATATAGTGAATATAAAATAGCAATAATGTAGAGGCACAGTGGCATAGTGCCTAAGGCATTTGACTGCTAATCAGAAGGCTGGTGGTTCAAACCCGCCAGCCACTCCTCAGAAGGAAGGTTGAGCAGTCCACTTCCACAGTGATATTGCCTCAGAAACCCAACTATGAGTCGCATCCGATTTGATGGCAGTGTGTTTTGTGCAGAGGCACAGTGTCACCATGAGTTGAAGCTGACTTGACAGCAGCTAACAACAAGAGCAAAGTCACAGCATGATTATTCTAAGGTCCGGCAACCCATCAACTGAAAGAACCTTTGCAACAATTTTGGCTTTCACACCAGTCATGGACATTTTAGAAGAACAGTTCACTTGCATTAAACATGTTAGGATAGAGAATATAAAGTACAGGGTTGGAAACTGTGTCCCTGGACATCAGTAGCAATAGATATTAAAATGAAGTTTTCTTGGTGTCTTGGTATTCACATTTCTTAAGAAAAGTATTATACTATTAGCAAGATTTACAAGTATCTATGCTCCAATTTGGGCTTAATGATGTTCAACAGGGTTTCTTAAAACTCAGTACCACTGACATTTTGGGCCGAATAATTCTTTGTTATGGGAGCTGTTCAGTGCATTGTAGGCTGTTTAGGAGCATCTCTGGTTTCTCTGCCCACTAGGTGCCAGCAGCATCTCCTCCAGTTTTGAAAACTAAATATTGCAGAAGTCTCTAAAATGCTGTGAAATCAAGAACCACTGAGGACTCCTGGTATACACATTGCTTGCAAGTGAAACAGAGATAGAGGTGTGTTCTCTTTAAAATTCTCATCTGGAATCAGGGGAGGACTATTGTTTGGATGGATATTCACTTTCTGCAAATCCTAGACTGTTGTACTAACGTCATAAATAATGGCAGCTCATTAAGCAGACACTGACTGGTATAGATAACAGGATGGTAAAGATTAGTATCGTTTCCTCTGGTAGGCCCAGAACACTGACCTGTACCTGTCATTTTTCTGAGGGCTCCCTTCCAAGATTCTGTGACAGTCCCAAACTTTGAGCAGAAACTGTTCTAAGGTAGATCCATTATGAATTAAAATTTAGCTAAAAATTTCACAACTTACCACTGATTCGACGGCCACAGTGCTTTAGGGAATGTCCAGAAATTGCCCCTGCCTTTGGCACTCTTGGAAGGATCCCTGTTACATTTTCTTTCAAGTAGCAACCAAACCTGTTTTTAAAAGTGGCTTTACTTAGAAAGTAGAATAATAAATGGGCATCAAGGTAATCTCTAGCATTTTCTATACACTATTAAGTCAGTCGACGGCACATAACAACAACAACAACAACAACAACAATAAGTCAGTTAGGGATAAAAAATCAAAACAAACCAAACTCAGTGCCATTGAGTCGGATCCAACTCATAGCGACCCCTCCTTAGGTTTCTGAGGCAGTATCACTACAGAAGTAGATTGCCCCATCTTCCTTCCAAGGAGTGGCTGGTGGGTTTGAACTGCCAGCCTTCAGGTTAGCAGTCAAATGCCTTAGGCACTATACCACCAGAGCTCATTATTAGGGATAAGTGGGGAAAAAAGATTTCCTGACACTTGCTAGGGAATCCATTCTTAAGCCAATTGTACAATATCTAATGTTCACTGTAGCACCTAACTTTGACCTTTTTTTTTCTCCTGTACCTCTTATGAAATGGAAGATATGGAGAGGTGCATGGGAGGGGCTTTGTTTTTCTTTACACTACATTTTTAAATGCAAATAATCAACCAAATTAAAGAGTTAGTGAGTTTTTCCTTTACTCCAAAACTTTCAGGGAACTTTTATTGCTACTGACAATTGCTTTTGCAAATACTTTCTTTTACTTAAAAAGTTGAGTGTACGTATAGTGTTTGTTTTGTTTATTGACTTATAGACTACTTCTAATGCTTCTTGAATCCCATTTGAGAAATGTAACCCTTTCACATGTTAAACCTTTTTGCACAAGACTGATTCCATTTTGAGTAATAATATCAACATTTACCTTTTCTGTGTGTCATTAGTTGAATTTGCAGGAAGAAAACTGAATAGCAAACACCTGGGGTGGAAAGTGCACATCATCTGACAGTATTGGTCATTTGGAGTATACAGGGAGGTTACATCCCCACCTCGGAAGAAGGTATTTTTATATAGATGAATCTGGCATCCTGTGATAAAATAATTAAAAAAAAATTGATTTGGAGTGGATGCAAATAATAATTTTACTAGAAATGCATCTCTGTTCTGAACATTCTACTTAATATCCAACATATCTATAATGATAGAGGTAGCATGAAACAGACATTTAGGTAATAATTTGAATAATATATAGGCTATTCAATGTCATTTTTCTGGGTACATCTGTCTGAAAAACTTGGCTGATTTTTACTAAATGATACAATAATTTTGCACTAAATTACATCCAAATAAATACAAACCTAGTTTGCTTTCTCCCTGTGAGCTAACATTCTATGAAGATATCATGCCTTAAAAATAGTTATGTATGGGAAAGAGATAGTCTCTTTAATAAATGGTGCTGCCAAAACTGGATATCCATTTGCAGAAAAATGAAACAAGATCCATACCTCATACCATACACAAAAACTAACTCCAGATGGATCAAAGACTTAAATGTGAAACCTAAAACTATAAAGTTCTCAAGGAAAAACTAGGGGCAAATTTAGGGGCCCTCATTTATGGCATAAATACACTGTCAAGCTTAAACCAATATGCACAAATAGCTGAAGATAAATTAGATGAATGGGACCTACTAAAAATTAAAGTTTTATGTGCTTCCCAAGACTTCTTTAAAAGAGTGAAAAGAGAACCTACAGATTGAGAAAAAAATATTCAATAATGACATATCTGACAAGGGACTTATCTCTAAAATTTATAGAAAACTTCAACACCTCAACACAAAAAGATTAACAATCCAATTTGAAAATGGGCAGAAGACACAAATAAACATTTCAGCAAAGACAATATTCAGGCAGCCAGCAAATACATGAAGAAATGCTCATGATCATTAACCATCAGAGAGATGCAAATCAAACAATGTCTCACCCCAGCACTAATGGGAAAGTACAACAAGACAGAAAATAACAAATGCTGGCGAGGATGTGGAAAGATTGGGACTCTCATACACCACTGGTAGGACTGTCAAATGACACAACCACTGTGGAAAACAGTATGGTGATTCCTTAAAAAGCTGGAATTAGAAATACCATCTGACCCAGGCATTCCATTACTTAGTCTATATCCTAAAGAAGTGAGAACCAGGACAAGAACAGATATGTGCATACCCATGTTCATCACAGAACTATTTACAATAGCAAAAAGATGGAAACAAGCTAGGTGCCCATCAACAGAAGAATGAATAACCAACTATGGTCCATACACACAATGGAGTACTGTGCAACACTAAAGAACAATTGTAGAATCTGCAAAACACCGCATAACATGGATGAGCATGGAGGACATTATGCTGACTGAAATAAATCAATCAAGAAGGACAAATATAATATTAGCTCATTATTGTGAAAAGTCAAGGAAAGGTTTATATATGGAAGGAAATGTTCTTTGTTGGTTACCAGGGGTGAAGGGATAACACTGCAAAAAAAAAAGCATTAACCCATTTCACTTTAGTTTTGTGGATTTCACTGTATGTAAATTATATTTCAATAAAATGTATTTTAAACAAATAGGATTCTAAATAAAAAAATAGTTATGCATGATTTGTTTTTCAAAATTCTCATAACAAACATCCCACTACATTCTTCTAATCACTTCATAAGGGAAGCTGAAGCTAGACTTTATTATCTGCTTTTTTTTTTTAAACTAAGTCTCAAGGCAGTAGGGACCTGCTCAAGATCACCCCGCTAATGAGTGCCCTGGGCATGAATCCAGGTCTTCCGAATCCCAACTGTTTTCCTTTTTCCTATTGTGCAAGTGTTTCATTCTGTTGTACACAGAGTTGCTATGTGTTGGAGCCAAGTAGATGGCACCTAAAAACAACAACAAATTTGTTCCTCATTCTCAGTTTAATTAAAGCAAAGATTTACAGCCTTAGGAACCCTATGAGACAGCTCTACTCTGTCCTATAGGTTTGCTATGAGTTAGAATCTACTTGATGGCAATGGTTATGTTGTTGCTGTTGGTCTTAAATGTCCCACTGTAGCAAGATGGTACCAGTAGAAAACCTAGAAACAAAAGACCTATCTAAACTAGCACAGACTGAAGTAGAAAAATTTAACAGACTTATAACAAAGGAGGGAGTTCTGGTGGCATAGTGCCTAAGGTTTTTGACTGTTAACCAGAAGGCTGGCAGTTCAAACCCACCAGCCACTCCTCAGAAGGAAGATTAGGATACTGCCTCATAGAGATACTGCCTCAGAATCCCAAGGATGGGTCACTATGAGTTAAATTGACTCAACAGCAGTAAGTTTGTTTTTATTGGTATGACAAAGGAAGAAACTGAGCAGGTCATAGGAAAAAAAAAAAAACTTCCCACAAAAAAAAGTCCTGGTCCAGATGATTTCACTGGAGAATTCTATCAAATGTTCAAAGAAGAGGTGATACGTTTTACTCAAGCTATTATGAACTTAGAAAAAGATAGTGTACTTTAAATTTCATTCTATGAAGCAAGCATAACCTTGATACCAAAATCAGGCAAAGATACCACTATACAGGAAAATAACAGACCAATGTCCCTCACAAATATAGACACAAAAATCTTCAATGAAATCCTAGCTGATAAAGTCTAACACTACATCAAAATAAATAAATAAATACACCATGACCAAATGGGATTCATACCAGGTATGCAAGGATGGTTCAACATTAGAAAAAAAATAATCAATGTAATCCACCACATAAATAAAAGAAAGGAAAAGAACCACATCATCATATCACTTGATAGAGAAAAGATATTTGATAAAAATCCAACACTCATTCCTGATTTAAAAAAAAAAAGAAAAACTATCAGTAAAATAGGGAAGAAAGGTAAAATAGGGAAGGAAGATAAAATAGGGAAGGAAGGTAAAATAGGGAAGGAAGGGAAATCCCTCAGTACAATAAAGGGCATATATTCAAAACAACCAACCAACATCATTTTCAATGAAGAGAGACTCAAAGGCACGGATGCCTTCTACCACCACTTCTATTTAACATTATGTTGGAAGTCCTAGCCAGGGCAATAAGGCAAGAAAGAGAAATGAAAGACATGCAAATTGGTAAAGAAAAAGTAAAATCATCTCTATTTGCAGATGACCATATACTATACATAGAAAACCCAAGAGAATCAGCAGAAAACTACTGAAGCTAATTGACAGATTTAGCATAGACCAGGATACAAGATCAACATACAAAAATCACTTGGATTCCTCTACATCAACAAAAAAGATCTCTGAAAAGGAAATAAGGAAAGCAATACCATTTACAATATCTATCAAGAAGATAAAATATTTAGGAATTACCAGGGACACAAAACACTTGTACAAAGAAAACTACAAAACACTATTACAAGAATCTATAAGAGACCTACATAAATAGAATAATATCCCATACTCACAGATAGGAAGACTGAACATCGTGAAATAGTCAATATTATCCAAAGCAATCTATAGATTCAACACAATCCCAATCCAAATTGCATCAACATCTTTAAGGACATGGGAAAAAAAATCACTAGTTTTATATGGAAAGGAAAGAGAATGCAGATAAGCAAAGCAATACTGAAGAAGAAAAACAAAGTAGGAAGTCTCACACTCCCCAGCCTCAAAACCTACTATAAAGACACAGTAATCAAAACAGACTAGTATCGGTACAATGATAGACACATAGACCAGTGGACAGAATTGAAAATACAAAAATAGATCCATTCATCTATGCACAGCTGATCTTTCACAAAGAGCCAAAAAACAGGCAATGGAGAAGAGACAGGCTCTTTAACAAACAGTGCTGGCAAAACTGGATATCCATTTGCAGAAAAATGAAACAAAATTCATACCTCACACCATACACAAAAAATGAACTCAACATGAATCGAAGATCTAAATGTAAAACCCAAAACTATCAAGTTCATCAAAGATGAAATAGGGGAAATATTTGGGGGCCTTAATTTATATCATAAATAGACTATCAAGCATAACCCAAAATGCACAAACAGCAGAAAGGAAGCTAGATGACTGGGACCTTCTAAAACTTAAATTCTTATGTGCATGAAAAGATTTCTCCAGAAGATAAAGAGAAAGCCTTCATATTAGGGGAAATAAAAGATTTGGCAATGACATATCTGACAAGGGACTTATCTCTAAAATTTATAGTACACTTCTACACCTGAACATCAAAAAGACAAGTAATCCAAGTAATCCACTGCAAAAATGGGCAAAGGATATGAGCAGACACTTCACCAAAGAAAATATTCGGGCAGCCAACAAACACATGAAGAAATGCTCACCATCATTAGCCATCGAAGCGATGCAAATCAAAACAACAATGAGATATCATCTCACCCCAGAAATAATAGCAAAGTTCAACAGGACAGAAAGCAACAAATGCTGGAGAGGGTGTGGAGAGATTGGAACTCTCATACACTTCTGGTGGGACTGTAAAGTGGTACAACCACTGTGGAAAACAGTATAACACTTCCTTAAAAAGTTGGAAATAGAAATGTTTGATCTAGAAATCCCACTACTAGGAATGTATCCTAAAGATGTGAGATCCAGGACATGAATAGTTATATGTACACCCATGTTCATCACGGCACTATATACAATTGCAAAGAGATGGAAACAACCTAAGTGCCCATCAACAGATGAAAGGATCAGCAAACTATATACTATATATAAACTATACACACAGTGGAATACTGAGTAACATTAAAGAATAATGATGAATCAGCAAATCACCTCATAACATGGATGAACTTGCAGAATATTATGCTGAGTGAAATAAATCAATCACAGAAGGATAAATATTGTATGAGTCCATTATAAAAAGCTAAGGATAGGTTTACACAAGGAAGGTATTTTCTTTTTTGGTTACCAGGGGTGGGAGCAGAGGAAAAGGGAAATAGAAAAATTAAAAACTAAAACAAGATGGTACCAGTAGCTCGGGCCTCTGCATTCTCTCATATTTTAAGTGAAATTTAAAAAAATTAGTCTTATTTCTAGAAACTGAGCAAAAGTCTTGCTTGCTGCAAAGCTTTCACTCTGATGGGGGTCACTACAGCCAGCATGATGTATGAACTCTGGAGAGTCAAAGCCCTAGCCCTGGAACTGGTAGTGGTGCAGTGTCAACAGAACCACAAGGGCCAAAACTGGGAAGCAAGCATTTCCCAGAAGTAAATTAGGGCACTTTTTCCCAGAAATGTCAGGATGTTCTGGGCCACAGAGCCACAAAGACCTAAGAGAACTGATATAAGCATGGATATGTGAGCACATTCATATCCAGCTGGAAAAAGGCAACTTTGAAATAAAATTTCTGGAAGGTAATTTCATGATATTAGTAATAAAACTTCCAAAATATTTTACACCTTTGTATCTAGGTGTTTTTTGTTTTGTTTTGTTTTGTTTGTTTTAATTTCCAAATATTTATTCAACAGTGCATATATCCATAAGGATATGCATGTAAAATAGCACAAACAGGAATTATATTAGTTTTCTAAGATTATCGGAGCTAAATATCACAAATTGTGTGGCTTAAGACAACAGAAATTTATTTTCTCTAAGTTTTGGTGGATAGCAATCTGAATTGTAGACCATCTGTAACATTCTGCCTTCATGTGCACATGGCTATCTTCCCTCTGTATCTCTTCTCTTCTTAGAAGGACATCAGTCATATTGGATTAGGGCCCATCCTACTCTAATATGACTTCATGTCAACCTAACTAGAAAGATCTGCAAAGGCCCTATTTCCAAATAAGGTCACATTGACAGGCATGGAGTTAAAATTTAAGCATATTTTTGGAGCATGGGGATTCACAATTCAACCCCTAACAGGGAAAAATACTAAGCATCAAATATATATATTTGTGTTAAAATATAGCCATAAATAGAAAAACAATAAGTTATTTTTAAAACATATCTATATTAATATCTTTGTAAAATGTGTAAATAAGTATATGTCCAAAAGATTTTTAATAGTGACTATTTCTGCATTGTAAAACTACAGAATATATATACTTTCTCATTTTCTGCTCATTTGCACATTCTAATCTCCTAGTAGGATCATGGTTTTTTTTTTTTTTTGGTCAAGAAATGGAATCGAAGTGACTATAGTCTATAGTATTTCTGGCTTCTACTCCTTCTCAACATTGAACAGATTTGTACTTTGTTGATTATGGTTCAGAAGAGCAATTAGAAGTGAGGGACAGATGGAGAGGAGTTATGACTTAAGGGAAAGAAAGTTCAAAAAGCTTCTTCCCAAAGAAATTAAATCTCTTACTTTACCTAAGAAATGTTTATTTTAACCACATAACTGGGATGTAAATAAACAGTCATCTTATGTCAACATGAATTCATAATCGACACAAAGTAGTAGCACAGAGAAAAATCTACTCGGCAATGATTATGAAAACTAGTGTCCAGAATCATCCTTAATCTCAGAAAATGAATGGGAAGGATAAAGATAGAATAAGATCAAAACTTGGTGTTGGAAAAACATTCAATTAGAAATATTCAAACAGATGCTTTACCAAATTAAATTTAAAGCAGACACTTTCATTTCTGAAATGATTCCCCAGTGGCCTAAAAATGTAAAAATGTATGTTAACTATCATGGCACTTGGGTTGAATGCAGACACTATAAAACACCTAGCACTTTTTTGAACATTCAGATGAAGTTGGTCATTTTAAAAATGGTGATAACAAAACTAGAGGGCAGATGTTCTGCTTGTTTTGAGATCCTTTTTGCACAGAGTCCTTTTCAGATAGTAATTTCAAGTTCTTTGGCTACATTCGGCATTCCTGGGTCCTCCTCCTGAACCAAACATTAAAAGAATATGTGTCCTTTTAACTTGTAAGGGGTTCCCTCCTTCCCCAAAGTTGAGTGTTCTATAGCTTTCTCCAAAGGTAGAGTGTCTTATTTAACTACTCTTTTATTACACACTCTTAATTTTGTGTCTTGTAGATAATCTACTTACCACAAGAAACTGCAGCAAATAAGGTAATAAAATAAGTTGTTTGCCAGAATGAAATCATCCTAAAAAAAAGAAAACAACACAGGACTGAGTCTGCTGATTGTAGACCATATGTAACATGAAACTTAAAAGATTTTTTTTATAAATGTCTGAATTGCAAATCTAAGTATACAATTACCAGTAGAGTGAACAAAAGTTTTCCATACATTTTGTGCCTAGGGACTTAAAAAATTTAGAATGTTTCCCAAGATACAATTTGAGACCTCTAGACTACTATTATGTCTGGTGTTGATTTGCATTTCATGTTGTTAGTAATTTTGGAAAGGAAATTAATTGAGTAGAGAGGAAGAAAACAGTTGTGAAACCTCTTGGTTTCAGCAAAAATAAAATTATTATACACAATAGCACAATATGGTCTCTAATCCCTATATAAAGAAAAGTTCTGAGAATATCCAGGCCCATTCCTAAATTTTTAATTGGTCAAATACTGTCTTTAGTTTTAAAATATAGTTAAGTATTTTTACAGACAAGAAGATGAATTCCTCCTAGATTCTCTAAATACTCAGGAAATTAGAACATAAAGTACTAGCTTCTTCATAAAGGAAAAAAAATAAGCTTCCTTTTAAAAACACTTTATTTGGAAGCAATCAGAGTAGCAGAAATTCTCTACCTGAAGGCACAATTGCTTCCGTAGTCTGGAAGTGAGAGTGTCTTCTCGGCAATTAAAAAAAACGGATAGCCTTCAAGCTTTCCTAATGTGGCACTGTCGTCGACGTTGTTTTCTTGGTTTCAATATTGACTTTGGTTTTCTGCCAATGGTTTCAAGCTTTTTGCTGTCATCATATTCCATGAATGTCCCAACCCTGTGTTCAGCAATCTTATTTTGATAGGTTAACTATTTCATGTTAAGACCACACAATTCATGAGCAGATTTCTATTCTTCTAAATGTTTGTAACATCCCCAATTATTTGAAGTTGTGCAGCTTAAAGCTTATCTAATTTGGAGTTCTTTCATTTGAATTGCCTGAAGGTACAATTGAGGAAGAGGTGGGGATAGGTATGGATGGCTAATTCTGGAAGGATCTTTTAGCAAATGCCATCTATGCCTTCCTTTACTCTATTCAAAGAAATATATAACAATTAAATTTTATATTTGAAAGAGACGTGATCATTATTTAAATCTTTCTCCCATCTAACTCAGGCAATAATGTGCTATATCAGGAGTTGGCAAACCACAGCCTATGGACCAAATCTGGCTTGGTGTTTATTGTTGTAAATAAGCTTTTATTGGAACACAGCCATACCAATTTGTTTAGAGATTGTTTATGGCTGTTTTTACCCTACTAAAACAGAGTTGGAGAGTTCTGGTAGCGTAGTGCCTGAGGCACTTGACTGCTAACCAGAGGCTGGAGGTTCAAACTCACCAGCCACTCCTCAGAAGGAAGGTTGGGCAATCTACTTCCATAGTGAAACCACCTTGGAAACCCAAGGAGGGGTCGTTATGAGTCGGGTCCGACTCAATGGCACATAACAACAACAACAAAACAGAGCTGAATAAGTGTAACAGAGACTGGATGGCTTAAAAAGATGAAAATATCTATCTTCTGGCCCTTTACATTAGTAAGTTGACTTACTCCTGATCTATGTATCACTACTGGCATGGAATTTAGTCTTCTCTGTCTGGGTACTTCAACTGGAGATAAATGTACTTACTGGTTGTTCAGGGAGCAAACTTTTCAGGAGGGAGTTTTATTATTTATTTATTTTTAAGAAAAACTCTTCCTATATACTGAAATGCACCTCCTTAAACCTACTAGATTCACATTAAATAATATATTCTTCATTCTGTACTTCTTTAAATCTTTAAAGACCATAATCACTTCACCACTAAATATCTTGTTTTCTAACTGTTCTTCAAAATGTGGTACATCATTCTGGTTAATAAATTAAGATGTTTAGGAGTTGATTATTGAATAACTATTTTATGTGTATTATTGCAATGCAGTACTGTGCTTAATAGAAGCGTAGAGTAATGTGACCAATAAATATTTTCTCAAAGCATCGAAGAAACATGTTTCAAATATGCATGCTGCACTGCCTTTTTAGGTTCAAGGCATCAATTGGTACACCAGGAATCGAATAAAAGGAATCCATCACTTTGTGCAACATAAAAGAATTTAAATTTGGATCTTATCTACTACCATCTTCAACAGAAAAAAAAAAAAAAAAAGATGGTTGGGACAAAAACACATTCCCTCTTAATCATAGCATAAACCCTCAGAATTGTTTCTCAAAATGGAGAGATTATAGATTTCTACCTATTCCAATGTGCTTCTGTGTTTAGTTTAAATTTTTCTTATAGTAAAATATAAGTCACTTTCAATACAATAAAACCTTCTTTATGGATTCAAAAGAACTGAATCAGAATTAACTTGACAAGAGGTACCAGTAGGCAGAATTTTAAAATAACCCCCAAATTTTCCACCCTAATCTTGGAGACTGAATATTATGAGATGTATGTACATTATGATGTTTTGTTACATACTGCAGAATCAGAGAAGCTAGTTCATAAGACTACTCTCACTCTGACATCAACTGCAACTTCAGGAGTCCCAAAGACCAAACTATGGTTCATTAATTTACTAGAAATATTCACAGAATTCAATGATAGCTATTATACTCATGGTTATAACTTATTACAGGTAAAGGATTTTGATAAAATAAGCTAAGGGAAGTGATGAATGCAGCAGAGCCTAGGAAAGTTCCAAGTACAGAGCTTCCAATCATCCCCTGCCAATGGAGTCATGGGCAGTGATATCTCTGGGCAATGACATGTGATAAAGGCACACAAAATAATATTGCCAAAGAGGGCAGCTTACTGAAGCTTTGATGTCCACAGAGTTTATTGAGGCTCCACATTACTGACTGTTTATATAGCTGACCTCAGCCTGTGGCCCCTCTGGGAGTCAAGCTGATACTGCATGTGTAAAGCTCCCACCAGAAAACACATGGTTAGAATTTCTGGTGTAGTCCAAAGACCCTAGATAAACAAGGGCATTTTTATTAGGCAGGACATCCCAAGGACTTAGATATTATCTCCTCAGGGTCCAGGATAAAGGCTAAACTTCTCTTTGGGCATGAGTAACATTTTTACTACACACATGGCAAAAGAGAATTTTCAGATGTAACTAAGTGTACTAATCCATTGAGTTTCAGCTAATCAAAAGGGAGATTATTCAAGTAGGCCAATCTAATCACATGAGCTCCTTAAAAATGGAGAGTTTTCCTGCCTTGAGCTTAAGAAGCCAAACATCATAAGGAGAGAGTCAAAGTGTGAGAGATAGTTTACAGAAGGGAGGTTCTCCATTACTGTTTTTTAAATAGAGGGAGTCATGGGGACAAAAAAAAAAAAAACGTGAGAGTGATATCTAGAAGTTGAGAGAGTCTCTCAGCAATAGCCAGCAAGAAAATGGGGACCTCATTCCTAAAACTGCAAGTTGTTAACAATCTGAATGAGATTGGAAGAGGCTTCTTCCCCAGAATCTCCTAGTCTGAGTTCCAGCATGGCCAACACTGTGATTTGGGCCTTGTGAAATCCTAATCAGAACACCCAGCCAAGTCCACTTGAACTTTTGAACTACAAAACCCTGAGATAATAAATGTGTTGTTTTTAATGGCTAACATTGTTGTGTTTTTTTTTTTTTTTCACTCAGCAAGAGAAAACTAATATTGAGGCTAATATTTATCTGAAGTGACCTGGGGAAAGGAGGCTTAGAACTGGACCCTCTGAGATGGGGGATGGAAGGAGGATACCTGAGGGACCCTGGAAACTTTGGGTGGGAGGATGGGTCAGAAGCAGAATGATGATCTGCCATGGACACTATAAGAGGACTGTGGTTTCAAAACAGGGAGAAGCCAGGAGTCACTGATGAAGTTATAATGTGGCCAGGATGGGCCCCTCAGAAAAGAAACAGATGGAAAAATCTATTTTGTGCTTCTCATTAAGAAAAGAATCTCAGTTCAATGAGAAAGGTTCTTGGTAGTGCAGTTTGACTCTTTACTGATTTCTGCTATTCACCTTTCTATTCCATAAAATGTTCCTATGACACAACTTAGACACTGCTCTTCCCAGTCAACATCAATGAGTATTGTTACTGTTGTTGTTAAGTGCTGTCAAGTCGACTCTGACTCATAGTGACCCTATGTATAACAGAACAAAACACTGCCCGTTCTTGCGCCATCCTCACAATACTTGCCTCACAATACTTCAGGCCATCATTGCAGCCACTGTGTCAATTCATCTCTTTGAAGGTCTTCCCCATTTTTGCTAACCCTCCAGTTTACCAAGTATGAGATCCCTCTCCAGTTAGTGGTCCCTTCTGACAACATGATCAAAGTAAGAGAGACAAAGTCTGTCCAGTCTCCTTTCCAAGGAGCATTCTGGCTGCACTTCTTCCAGGACAGATTTGTGCCTTCTTCTGGAAGTCCATGGTACTTTCAGCATTCTTTGCCAACACCACAACTCAAAAGCATCAACTCTTCTTTGGTCTTCCTTATTCACTGTCCAACTTTCATATGCATATGAGGTGACTGAAAATACCATGGCTTGGGTTGGGCGCACTTTAATCTTCAGAATGACATCTTTCCTCTTCAGCACTTTAAAGAAGTGCTTTTGCAACAGATTTGCCAGTGCAATATGATGTCTGATTTCTTGACTGCTGTTTCCATGGGCATTGATTGTGGATCCAAGTAAACTGAAATATTTGACAACTTCAATCTTTTCTCCATTTATCATGATGCTGCTTATTTCTCCAGTTGTGAGGATTTTTGTTCTCTTTATGTTGAGATGTAATACACACTGCAAACTGTGGTCTTTAATCTTCATCAGTAAGTGCTTCAAGTCATCTTCATTTTCAGCAAGCAAGGTTGTTTTGTCTGCGTATAGCAGGTTGTTAATGAGTCTTCCTCCAATCCCAATCTGCATTCTTCTTCATAAAGTCCAGCTTCTTGGATTATTTCCACAGCATAGAAATTGAATAAGTATGGTGAAAGGATACAACC